ATGGCAGCGCTAGCTGCCACTACCTATCGCTACACTACACTTCTCTGCCCACTTCGTCTTCGGGCACACTGCAGACCTCCCCGCACAAGCTGCTAAGGCAGCGCTTCCGCATGGCATCCGCAGGAATGAATGAATGGCTGGACGCAGCCTCTTGATTTATACTTTTGCGCTGCGTTGGTCTGCCCTGTATCCCTGGCCCATGGTGCACACAGTCCCCCCCGTGGTACTTGCTGGACCGGACTGGTACTTTCTAGACTCTCCCATGACTGCATAGCGACTACCCTACGACGCAGTGCAGTTGCACTGGGGTCCTACTATTTGCCCTTCCCACTTGTCCTCGTCTCCAACATGGGCTTGCTTTAGTCACACCACTTGCCCACTTGCCTGCACCACTTGACCACTTGCCAACCTTCTAGAAGGACTACAGCTAGCCTTCTAATCTACAGGTCTACGGATCGAATCCTGGCTACCTATAGACCTACGACAGACCTACCTACCACTGGTGGTTCTACAGGTCGCAGGTTCAACTCTTCGACTTGACGCAGGTATTGTACACAGGTAAGTTGGGGAACTAGGGATCGAGCCCTGGGATCTGCCTCAGCTACCACGAATTGGTGAATACCGTTTCACAAGTGTATCTGACGGCAGCTGAAAGGAGCAAGTACAAGATGGACTCTCAATGAGGAGTACAGATATAAGTCCAGTAGTTTCAGGGTCCCCGGAGTCAACCAACTTCAACAGTAAGTCGATAAGGCCAGATTAGGCATGGGTGAGGGGTGGTAAATCCTTCCCACGGGAAGTAATCAATGAAGTCCACTCGGGTCCTTCCAACCATAATGGGGAGGAGCATAGGGTGAGTAAATGATGTATTCCTTTGACTTGCCGGTGGAATAGGAATCGGACCGACACTCCCCAGAATGGATTTGGAGCCAGAACCATGAGGTTCTGTTTTTCTTTCTTTGAATAATAAAAAAGAACCGGCAACCTCAAGCTTAACAGCCGAGTGCCTAAACCACGACCATAACACAATGTGATATCCAACCCCTGCATGGCTGTCGTGGGACATCTCACTTGCACACCCATGACAATCAGCTATCTCCCTCGAGGCCTTCCTTTAGGTGGGCTGAACGCAGCCACCAGGTCCAGGTTTTATTCCCAGCTAGTTACTGTGGAAATACAGCATCTGGTATCTTTCCTGAATCCAGCGCTGCAGGGAATCAAACCAGCGTCCTCAAGCTTAACAGCCCAGTGCCTCAACCACTGCAGCCATGATATGCTGTTCAAAAGTGGAACCACGCCGGTCGTGATATCCACCCCAGCCCTGCATGGCTGCCGTGGGACATCTCACTCGCACACCCGGGACGCCCAATTATCTCCCCTCAGGCCTTCCTGGAGTTGGGCTCAACCAGTCCAACACAGCCACCCGGTTGCTGTGACACATGCAAAAGTTGTGTTGAGTAAAGGTCAAGACAAGACAAGACACAGAAAGGGACAGCTGGAATGTGATATCTTACCTGCAGAGGTCAAGAACCCGAATTGTCTGCAAGTCAATGAGATAAGCCATTTTCTTGTTGTCTTCAGCAGAGAATGTTTTGGGTCTGCTGTCATTCAGTCGAACACTGATTAAATATGGACTCACATGCTCTGTTCGGCATGTTCCCAAAATCTCATTGGATCCGTATTCGATCAAAGAGAGCTCACCAACGTTGTAAACCATGCACACAGCTGGATGATCCAGTATAAACCTCTCATTCCCACTCCCAGTCCAAGGAACCTGCACCACAACCAGGAAGTCATGAAGAAGATATGATGCCACAAAGCAATCGTATAAGCTAGTCTCCTTACTTATGCACAGCGCTCAGCAAGCTCATACATTCTGTAGCATCTGTGCTCCCGTCTGTTCTGTAGACAATCAGTACAAAAACCTAATTGTATGCTTTCAAACTTCATGATTGCCTGTTTGCACTCTGAGATTCGTTGCTCATGCCTGAGACAGCAGAGATGTTTCGCAGCATATGCTGTCTCTCTATCATATGAACTCGATAGTTCCTTCAGAAATGTACAGCATAGTAGACTGTTATGAGCACCCGGTCCAAAACAAGATAGCTTGATGCAGCTGTAAGCAGCTGAGAGGGGCACAGAACGCTAGAATAGGGAGCATAGGTGGCCACTGAGCTGGATAGACAAGAATAGGTTCAGAGGCA